ATTGTCGGTTATTAAAAGAGGACCCATAATATCGATCGCGATGGCTTCTAACGGAGTTGATACATTTACGTGTCTCATTGGCGATTTCCCCAACCCCGGACCTGGTTTACGTTTTTGACAAAGCTCACAACTTTGACACCATCTGGCAACATCACTGGACATATCAGGCCAGTAAAATCGAGAACGGATTTTATTTAAAGTTTTCTCGCGCCCAAGATGACCAGCAGTTTTACTATTATGGAGCTGCATCATTAATTCTTCCATTAAAGATTTAGGGGCCTCTAATTGCATAGTGGAAGATAGGTCCTCATTTTCCCATATCCGATAAAGCAAGTTATTTTCAAGTAATGGCCATTACTTTAGGAAAACATCCAGGTCTTTGTCTGCTATGTTAATAGTTGTTTTTTCTTTATGTTTAGTAAAGGTTGCGAAAGGTATTATCCTCACTTTGCATGCGTTCAATGTCAAATGTCAACCAATTTGATTCAATCACTGCTTGAAAAAACACCTTTACAAAACTTAACTTGCAAAGTAAATTTCATTAAAGGTGCTCCAAAAAGCAAGGTCATCTTTGTATTAACTTTACAAAAAGTAAAGGTGAAAAGGTAACCTTTACTTACAGGAAAAGATAATTAAATATAACCTTTCACCTTTAATGCCATATTAAAGTTCATTAAATACACATATTTTATAAAAGTCTTATTTAAATGCTGACTATTGTTTAATACACTTATTCTTTGGATTTTCACAGTTAGTTAAAGAATCTAATCTAGTGGGGACCCAGAATTTTAAGACAAATGTCAAAGATATTTTTTTTATTATCTTGTATCCATTTCCAGTTGAAATTAGTATTAGAAATGGTCATCTACAGAATCAAACACTCGACTCATCATTATTTGACAGACTACACCTCAAATAATACAACAACTATGCTGTAAGCCAGGTTAGCTTAGTTGGAGCAGCTGGCGTTTATTTTGATACATATCTAACATACATTACATTGAATGTGAAACAATAAAGCACTGGAATGCATTTGTAAAATATTTTACCTGTAATAAATTATACCCCTATCACAGACATTAAACATAGGTAATCAGAGATTACAGAGCTCACCTCAACGAATGTTGTCTTTAAGTAAGGCAAAGTCACACAATTAACCAACAAAAAGTGCACATTCCAAAAATGAAAATATTTAAGCAATTTTGATCTGATACTTAGATGAGAGTTTTCATGATACAGAGGAATGTAAAAAACAATTTTATAATTACATATCCAGCTATATTTTCTTTAATTTTTTTGAGAAATGACTTTTGGGGAAAAAAACACATTCTATTGGGAAAAAAGGTACCTTTTTTGAATTGGGAATGGGGCCCATAAACGGCCCCAATTATAGAGAATCGAGAGCCCTGTCATCTCTTGATGCAACATTTGTGCAAGTTTGGATTATACAATGTTATATAAGCCTTATAGTTTTTTGGTAATAGACCTGCACCCATAACTTTTACCTGGTCTATTATCTGAAAAATGTATATCGAATTCAGCATCTGAAGCAAGTCCGTTAGTGTACATCCTAAGATGTATCGTCCATGCAAGTTTGCTCATTATAGGGCTCATAGTAAATTGGAAATGAAACATGCATCAAAAACTAACATTTTCACTCATCCACAAAAACTAGGTCAGATTCAGCATCTGAAGCAAGCCTGGTAGTATGCATCCTTAGATGTATCGTCCATGCAAATTTGGTCATTAAAGAACTCATAGTTACTTGGAAATGAATCACACACCAAAAACTTTAACCTGTTCACTCAACCAGAAAATGTAGGTCGAATTCAGCATCCGAAGCAAGCCTGGTAGTATGCATCCTTAGATGTATCGTCCATGCAAATTTGGTCATTAAAGAACTCATAGTTACTTGGAAATGAATCACGCACCAAAAACTTTAACCTATTGTAGTATGCATCTTTAGATGTATCATCCATGCAAGTTTATTCAACATAGGGCTTATAGTTACTTGGAAATGAAACCTGCACCAAAAACTTTAACCTGTTCACTCAACCGGAAAATGATGGTCAGATTCAGCATCCGAAGCAAGCCTGGTAGTATGCATCCTTAGATGTATCATCCATGCAAGTTTGGTCAACATAGGGCTTATAGTTACTTGGAAATGAAACCTCACCAAAAACTGCACCAAAAATGTTAACCTGCTCCAAAAACATTAACCTGGTTATTCCTTTGCTGAAATTGCAGCATCTGAAACTTTGACTGGTACAATGAACTACACTAGAACCATCTTCAATGCATGTCTAATCAATATAGGACATAGAAGTACTTAAAAAGAAAACTGCTCCAAAAACTTAACCTGGGACGCCGACGCCGACACTGACACCGACGCCGACACCGAGGGTATTACATAAGCTCCCCCAACTTCGTTGAGGTGAGCTAAAAACCGCCCAGGCAAAAACCATAGATGGTTAACTATGGAAAACATGTGTCCGTCGCTATGTGAATAATGTCTCAAGAGAGAATGCCGGACGTGCATTCAGTGCAATAGTTAAAAATGCACGAACACCCTATAATATTTGCATGTATGAAAAAATCCAAATTAAAATACCAGGTACATTATTACAGTTTTGTTATTTCCATTACCAGTATATTTATACAAATATGATATATATTATATATAAAGCAAAAAAAAAATGTGTGTGTATTGAAGAGCACTGGCTTAGAATGATCTGAACACCTTACTAAATACTCATTTCTCATTGGCCTTCCTTTGGCCACGCCCACATATACAACCAAAACCATTAATATACGTTCCTCTCATACAATGTGTTCCCGCTCTACTACGAAACACGGGAAAAAATATTATCTGCACCAGGATTGCCTACAACTCACTGAATTGGATGGCATAGATTTTTCATATGTACATTGATATTAATGATTTATTAATTAATAATATAACAATGGGGAAAAATGGCATATTGATAATTTTCATTTTCCAAGCAAAAATGATCTAAAATATTCTGTATTTTGGCTTCTCATCAATGATGAGTCAGATATACAGCACAAACAATATCCAGTTATAACCTTGAATATAAACATTATATTGAGCTATCTTTGACTTTTGTTTTCCTTTATACATTCAGATACATGTGAGACAAAATAAAAAAAAATACAGATGATAAGTATAAATTTCACATATCTGCTCATGAAATGGAGGTCCCATTTCACTTTAAAATATAATACCGGTACAATATTATTTATTCTTTATGGTGCATGTACATATATGAAATAAACTTTGCAGTTTAAATTGAATTTAAAATGTGAAAAAATTACATAAAAGGCTATTTAATTTGCGCTTACATACAGGCTAATAACATCTTCAACTTGTAATGCAAAATGATGCATTTTACATATTCACAAACACAAAAAATGGTGAAAAATCTATTAGAATATATGTGAGGAAGCAGTTTGCAAAATGCATGAGATCATGTATGAATCCAGCTTCACCCAGTGAGCCTGTCTGTGCTTGACTTAGTTTAGATTATGTTTTTTATGTCTGTGGTATGTATATGTTAGTGTGTTTGCATATGTGTCCAGCTTCACACATTTTCATGTATGTGCTCGACTTCACACGCCTTGGAAAATATGTAATAGGTTGTGGCAGATGCATGTGTATTTGTGTATGTGTCCAGCTTCACACATTTTCATGTATGTGCTCGACTTCACACACCTTGGAAAATATGTAATAGGTTGTGGCAGATGCATATGTATTTGTGTATGTGTCCAGCTTCACACATTTTCATGTATGTGCTCGACTTCACACACCTTGGAAAATATGTAATAGGTTATGGTAGATGCATGTTTGCATGTATCAAGATATACGCATTTTCATGTGTGTGCTCGATTTACATGTCATCAATGTAAAATATGTAAACATGGTGGTGTAAAACATTTACAAGTGTATGATGCACACAGAGAAAAAAAGTTCTGTGTGTTTTGTTCTGCAAGAATGATTGTATAAATAAACTACAAATATGTCCTGTTGAGAAATTGACAATCATAATAAGTAACATATTCATTTTATATAACTGTACTGAAAATTACACATCCAGTTTAAATTACTCTACTGAAAATTAAATTTGTGCAAAAACTCTCTGGCTGAATAACATTCAAAATCATGAATGCTTGCATGTTCATCTATAAATCTTAAAGATATTTCCTAGTTAGTTTGTAGCGCCACACCGAGCGGTCTTACAACACATTTCATAATGTCAGTTTGCATGAATAAATTAATTTATCCTTGTTCCTCATATCTTGAAAATAGATGCCGAAATTCTAGTCTACAGTTTACTTACACAGCACATCAAAAATAGAAACATTCAGGAAAAATAATTCACAAAAAATAAATTCAGATAAAACTAGAAAACTGACCAGTCAGCAAGGGCCCCGCCATGAGGTAGAATTATAAGGGTGCAGCTTATGGAATGATTTAAGAAATACATGTATATGACAAATAAGAAACAGCAACCATATTCTTAAAATTTCAAGAAAATTCCCGAATATCCAAAAACCTGTAAATAATATCCTTGTATTTATTTTACATAAGGCAGTAAAGAACAACTCAACACCGAATGTATATCTAAATAATAGTGAAGCTTTTGTTATATAAAATGCCAGCCTTCAATTAATGCAAATACATATCATGAAGGCTTGACCTTAACTTCAAAACAAACAGCAGTTGCAGACAAAGGTTTTCATTAATCTTAAAGTGACAGATAAAGATAAGCCTTCTAAATTTTCTGCAGCAGGCTAGATAATTAATCCCAAGGGATTAATTGTACTTCTCTCTCATCATTTTCTTCTTCATTTTTAATAAGAACTTTTTCAGTAATGATAGAATGATCGAGGTTTTTATCCAACTGCCTTAAAAATTAATAATATTCTTGAATTTTCAAATAAATAAAAACAAATAAAAATAAAAAATATATCCTCTTTAATCTATTTCTTCTTTTTAGAAGTCAATGAAATTAGAACTCATCGTGTAGGCTATTTCAACAAAAATAAAGTAAAAACATTTATACTTCAATCCACATTTCATGGTGTTCATAGCATTCCAAATGGACTTAACTTCAAAACAAACTTCATTTGCAGACAGAGGTGGTAATTAATCTCAATGTGACAGATAAAGATAATGCTTTGGATTTTCTTCAGGAGGAAAGCTAATTAATCCCAAGGGGCTCATTCATTGCAGTATTCAGTTTACAACATTTTCAGAAGTTATCTCTCTTTCCCAATTCATTCTTGTATAAAGTTAAGGAATCTACCCCACCACCCCTGCTCCAAACCAGAGGGCATAGAGAAACAAACATAGCATCAAAATATGTCTTTTTGCCTACTGAACTACCATACCAAATTTGAACTTAATTTGGCTACCATAAAAAAGTTATTAGGAAAAAACAGAAAATTTGTGGACGGAAGAATGACAGACGGACAGACAGACGGACAGACAGACAGACAGAGTGATTACTATAGGGCACCCGCAAATCCTTGCGGGGCCCTAACAATCACATGTACATATAAATTCAAGAAATATTATGTAATAGTCCAAGTAAGTGAGTAACTTTATCTATATCTAACAGTTCTATCTACTAAGTCTTCTATATTTCCATCTTCCTATCTTATTCTAAAATTCTGTCGCACTATATATATACTCAAGATCCGTTCCTGACGATCAGGAGCACATTTCCAGATCCTTAAAATCAGGAGTCAATACACAGGTCATTACGATCAGTAGGGGGGTTAGATAAGAGGGGGCGATTAATATACAGATAAGATTTATAGCACAAGTGTAGATGATAATGTGTGAACAATTAAGTAATGAAGAGTGATTTACAGATAAGATATTTTAAATCGTTACAAGTTTACATATTCTTGATCATATCATTGTTAAGAGTATATATTCTTGATCATGGCATCTGTATTGGATTCCCCTCTCTGACATCTTTTCTTGTTCACCAATTAGTTCAACAGTCATCTAGGTACTCAGGTGTTGTACAAGTCCTAATAATAATCATTTTAAAAATTATAATGAAAAACAATACAATTTTTAAAGAGGTTTTCATTACTTCTATTGAAATTAAAGCACAAGCTTTTGAAGACATACTTAAGTAACTTACTTATGTATAACTAAACATAATGGAAATTTAGACATTGCGACTCAATGTCAAACATATGATAGTGATACATCTGTAATATCCATGAAACTTACTGAGATACTTAAAATGTTTGTGGCGTGCTTTCACTAAGCTATGCAATAAATAAACATTTCTTGATTACATGTTGAAGTCCAAGGCTTAAAAAAAAATAAGTTTGTTTCCTGTAACATTCCCAAAATATCAAGGGTCGGTAGGTCGGATTTTTTTTTTCTTATGGATGGTGAAACATCCCAAGACTGAAAATACCAGGTGTTATATTTACAGTGGACACCCAACATGGCATCCAAAATGGCTGCCGAGCAGCATAAAATGAACTTCAGAAAGTTGTAGGGGGAAACTGTTGTTACAATAATGATTACTCTTTATATTCAAGGTAAATGTACGCTAAGTTGACATATTTTATGTCTCAAATTAAGCTACAAGCTATTGTTTTAATTTAATAAATGGAATCAGCTGATTGATCAAACAAAGTTTTGCCATTTGTCAGGGGAAAAAAATCCACCCAGGAATAATTTGAATGGGTCGGTCGGGTTACAGGAAACAAACATAATTTTTTTTAGGCCCAATCCTCACCTGACTTGCACATTCATATGGATTGGTTCTATGCTGATAATCCCTTTCAACAATCTTCATCACAACATCTGAAAGTCACCCATCTTCAAAATTAAATCTGCCGTTCACCTCATATGTATATAGACTCCCTGTACAAATGCATGGAAAATAAAATTTTGAATAAAAAATGAATTATCTCTTCACCAAACCCGACTTCTTTAAAAAATATGAGAAAATAATTTAAATACTTTTCTTAAGATAAAATCATGTAGTGAGTATCCAGCAATGGTGAAAAAAAGTTATCTCTAGAATTTTACATTTATATTGAATGAAAAATGCATTGTTCCCTCTACTTAAAAAAACTCAAAAGACATTACCTAAAATGGAAATAAGGTACAACTGTGACTGGTGTCTCAGGCACAACCAATAAACACAAGACCTTTCCATCCTTAGCAGCATGCATTAGCTCCACATTCCTTTTTTCTACAAAAAATATACAATGAAAATTAACAAAAAAAAATGAGAGCGAAGAGTGTTACATGTACTTGGGGGAACAGAGGAAGGAATTTTGAAGTCAGATTAATTATAGCGAGCGCAGCAAGCGTCGCGAAGCGACGCTCGTAACTGTGAGCTCTAACGACAACGCCTGGGTGAAGAGAAAATTCGGACTACTGCACATTCATTCTTTAGAATTTTTTGCTGCAGTAATTTTGACCCACAATGCATCACTTAGCAAAGTTGCGTTCTCGCGAGAATGACGGCAAATGTTCAACAAAAAGTTTACTCGCCTTGATTAAATGGATACATATTAAAGATTAATTGTAAATGTAACTTTTTTCATTAACTTTCAGCACTGTTCAGTTTTTCTTAGTATTTGTAACTTACATACGTCATCTGACGTCAGAGTTCTAGACGCACCAAATGTCACATGCGGTTTGACGAGCCCGATCTAAATTAAAACAATAGAAGAGTTTGCGCTCGCTCTAACGGTCGCACCGTCAACATATTATTTCTGCCAGTGTTGGGACGGATAAATTTCGGAAATAAAATGAAACGAATTATTCGCAACAAATAAGACACATGTATTACCTTGCAGTCACCATTGCACATAATCATTATGTATAAACATTTCTTGATTACACGTTGAAGTCCAATCCTCACCTGACTTGCACATTCATATGGATTGGTTCTATGTTGATAATCCCTTTCAACAATCTTCATCACAACATCTGAAAGTCACCCATCTTCAAAATTAAATCTGCCGCTCACCTCATATGTATATAGACTCCCTGTACAAATGCATGGAAAATAAAATTTTGAATAAAAAATGAATTATCTCTTTACCATACCCGGCCTCTTTAAAAAATGTGAGAAAATAATTTAAATACTTTTCTTTAGATAAAATCATGTAGTGACTATCCAGCAATGTTGAAAAAAAATTATCTCTAGAATTTTACATTTATATTGAATGAAAAATGCATTGTTTCCTCTACTTAAAAAAACTCAAAAGACATTACCTAAAATGGAAATAAGGTACAACTGTGACTGGTGTCTCAGGCACCACCAATAAACACAAGACCTTTCCATCCTTAGCAGCATGCATTAGCTCCACATTCCTTTTTTCTACAAAAAATATACAATGAAAATTAAAAAAAAAAATGAGAGCGAAGAGTGTTACATGTACTTGGGGGAACAGAGGAAGGAATTTTGAAGTCAGATTAACTATATTTCTGCAAGTGTTGGGACGGATAAATTTCCATAATAAAATGAAACGAATTATTCGCGACAAATAAGACACATGTATTACCTTGCAGTCACCGTCGCACATAACGTATACATACAACTGACAACATCCCAAATCCCTTTCTTTGTTGTTTACTTGGCGGAATTTTCTTTGCATTCTAGACTGGTTCCCTGTTCTGGTTCCTATACGTTGCCGTGAATAAGTCCTACGTTTATTGGTTTTGTTTACAAGCTTCAATATCTATAAAATCTCCCGCACATTTACAGTCTGTATTGTAAACTATTAAAACATACTTTACACACAATTTTCAGCTCAGTATTATGTTATCCTCTTCATTCAAATAATATGTAAACTCTTCTCGAATGTAAAACGAACGATCTACTCTGATAAGTAACCCAAATATGGCACTGTGTATTCGGCTGAATAGCCAATCATTTCAAATCAAGTGGAGAGGGTCTGCATCGCTATTTTGACGAAGTTTGCAACCTGTGGTAATTTTTTGAAACCTCATCTAGATTTAAGGAGATTCTTGTCTTGACAACTGCTCGAACTCCCGGATTGGCATGCACTGCAGGTTAGTTTACGATTTCCAACCGTTTTCACTTTCAGCATACATCAGTACATTGTGCATAAATGTAGTGAAACAAAACTTCGCTGTATATGTTATTTACTGCCAGAATGTTAAATTAGTATTTTGATAATTTGGGGATTAAATGTTTATGGGTTTCAGTTTATTCTGTAAAGGTGTATGTCTCTGGAATATTAAACAAGACAAAGAAAAACAATTCTGGAGTGGGACTAAAATGAGTAGTTAAAACCGAGCCGGGCCGGGAATTTGAAACTGAAACCGGGTTTTTGCTAATTACTGAGAATATACACAATCAGTTGTCATAAAACTTAGTTACAGATGTATTTATGCTTTGGTTGAGAGTTTCAACTCCGAAATCGACAAATAAGTTTATTTTATTTATAACATTTTGTATTTTAATTGTGTCCATTTTGTTAAAATACAGGTTGAGTGAAATCAGTATGCAGATTGTTGAAGGGAAAACATTGAGACGGGGCAAGGAAGATGACAAAACATGATTGAGGATCCCGAAGTTTTTTGGTACAAGCACATTTTTAAAAAATCAAATAATAAGTATCGTGAAATGTTACTTGAACAAACATTTACATTATTTAGTGCTTGACTTGCTCGGGAGTCATTATTGTCAAATGTATTTGTATAAAATGTTCAATTTCTTTTGTATAGGCTCAAGCTACTCAGCCTACCATGAGAAAATTAAAAGATCTGCCATGAAGAAGAGGAGGGTTCTCAAGTTTCATATTATAGATGGCAAGTATTGTTTATATATGGATTTAATTTTAAAGTATTCTTGATAAAGAAAGGGTGTTTGGCAGTTCATAGCTATTAACTTTGATTGCATTGTGTATGAGTTTTCAAAATCAATTCATTCTTTGGTGACCGTGTGCTTCAAACTCATAATTTTTAATAAAAATATTAACTATATATTTGTCCAGGTGTATAAAATGTTAATCACTGTATGAATTCTATTTCAGCCTGATTGTCGTCTTCAATTTGATGGATCTCACCCAAAGTCCTTTTACTGTTCCATATCAGGAAAAAGTTCATGAGCAGAATAACGCTATTTGGGAAAAAGGTACATATATCCTAAACCATAACTTGAGTATGATTCTGTACACATGTACAGCTAAGCTAAATATGTAGCACTATTTTGTTCTTTTTGTAAACTGACTACTGAGTAGTCAGGAAAACCTATCATTTCCTTATGTATCAGGGATTTATTCTTTGATTGTGATAAGTACCCTTAAAAAGTACATAATTCTCTAATTGTAATTTTAGGGATAAGGCCATCCTTAAAAAATTTTATTTTTGCAGTAATGCGCCTCGTCATTTTAGGTGTGAGTAGGTAGGTAGGCTTTTTATACGCCCGTCTTAAGACGGGACGTATTATGTTATAGGCTTCGTGTCCGTCCGTCCGTCTGTCTAGCTGTCCGTCTGTCCATTCCTGTCCGGCTCATAACTTCAATACTAATAGGCCTAGGATTATCAAACTTTGTCAACTGATACTTCTTGGGTAGACGGTGTGTCGCGCACAAAAAGTAGGTCGCTCTGACCTTTAATTAAGATGCTATGGCCAAATATGGAAAAATCCTGTCCGGCTCATAACTAGTAAACTATTAGACCTAGAACTATCAAACTTGGCAAATGTATACATCTTGGGTAGAAGGTGTGTCGCGACCTATTTCAAGATCACTGTGACCTTTAATTTAAGTGAAATTTTTTAAAAAACTAAGTCTTTTAAATTTTGAATTTCATAATCCTAAAAAATGCAAATTTTTAGTCGTATCCTTATTAAAAAAGTGTTAAATCAAGAAAATACTTATTTTTTTCAGCATATACTTAACAGCAATCTATAACAGATATTATGTATGTTAAGAGAAATCCCATGTCTCCCATGAGTGTAATTATCAAGCACTGGTCAAGAGTTTTGATAACAGAAAATTGCATGTCAAATTAGAGAGAAATTAATGAGTTTAGTGTGAGGAGCAAACTGGAGACCATCGGTGTTATCTATGTGCCTTTGGGAATTGGGCAGATGGGTAAGCCTGTTGGATTAAGAATAGCTCTTGTTGGCTAGCCTAAGTTTTAAAATGATTTTGATGAAAAGTTATTAACACTAATTTGATATTGCATTATAAACTAATCTAATATTATATAATATTATTAATTTAAAAAACTAATTTCATAGGGGTGGAATCAGCATGTCCATTTTCCACAGAAATTGCATATTTAAACCTTTCTGACATTAAATGTTAAAAAAAAAAATCATTGAGTATTTTAAATGTTTTAAAAATATTTTATGGTAGATAGTGCAGATTCATTCATCTATAGTAATGAGAAGACAAGCATCCAGTCAAAGATTAATTAATGAGTTCAATTTAGGAAGGCTAGCTAGCATCTTCTTATCTGTGTCCTTTGAGAATTAGACAGAAGAACTGCTGGTCAGTTTAAATAGCATATGTCATTTGATGGCCCAGCCTTTTATTTTCAAAATTAATTTGGTTTAAATTAAGTTGTTAAGACTTAAATTTGATATTGTTTAATATGATGAGCATTTGACAATTAAGGTCTAATACAACCAGTACAGAAATCTATCAATGATGTAATTTGTTATAATTAATGCCTACACCACAGGGGATATCGATGGATAAACAAATATTTTAAGGAATAGAAAAAATCATGGAAATTTTAGAATCAAGGTTTACATGATTTTCTTGCACTCTAAACTGTTTAAGTTAATTGTAATTTTTTGACGGGCGTATCATGCTGTGGCGTGGCACTTTATATTTTTTTTTGAGGCAAAATGTCAGAAATAAATTTCAATTATATAGAGGTATTAACTGTGTCTTCGATTTCACCTTACTAATCAAACACGAAAATTAAAGCATTCTAAATGAATTCAATCTTTTATTGCTCAAATATTAGAACACATCAGACACAGTTCTTTTTTTAAAAACGGCGTAGGTGCAATGGAGATGTAAAAAAATATTAATCGGATAAAAACGGAAAATGGATACGAAAAAAAAGAAGAAAGATTTTGAACCCACAAAAAAAATCCAGTAGGGTGGATTTTGGTGAGTCGGTCGCGTTACCGCAAAAAAACATTTTTTTAAGGATGGCCTAAGGCTTTTTGTGATAAGGGATACATGACCTAACCCATTGATTCTTCATATAATATGTCAATAATAAGAGGTCCACTCATCTTATTAAATTAATATAATTTTTAGCTCACCTGAGCCGAAGGCTCAAGTGAGCTTTTCTGATCACATTTTGTCCGTCGTCCGTTCGTCTGTAAACTTTTCACATTTTCGACTTCTTCTCAAGAACCAATGGGCCAATTTTAACCAAACGTGGTACAAAGCATCCTTGGGTGAGGGGGAGTTTAAATTGTAAAAATGAAGGGCCAAGTCCCCTTACAAGGGGAGATAATCAAGAAAAGACAAAAATAGGGTGGGGTCATTAAAAAATCTTCTTCTCAAGAACCACTGGGCCAGGAAAGCTGAAACTTATGTGGAAGCATCCTTGGGTAGTGTAAATATTAAATTGTTAAAAACATGACCCCCGGAGGTAGGACGGGGCCACAATAGGGTATCCAAATTTTACATAGAAATATATAGAACAAATATTTAAAAATCTTCTTCTCAAGGACCACTGGGCTAGGAAAGCTGAAACTTATGTGGAAGCATCCTTGGGTAGTGTAGATATTAAATTGTTAAAATCATGACCCCCGGGGGTAGGGCGAGCCACAATAGGGAATCCAAGTTTTACATAGAAATATATAGAACAAATCTTTAAAAATCTTCTTCTCAAGAACCACTGGGCCTCAAAAGCTGAAACTCATATGGAAGCATCCTCGGGTAGTGTAGATATTAAATTGTTAAAATCATGACCCCCAGGGGTAGGGCGGGGCCACAATAGGAAATCCAAGTTTTACATAGAAATATTTAGAACAAATCTTTTTAGAATCTTCTTCTCAAGAACCATTGGGCCAGGAAAGCTGAAACTTATGTGGAAGCATCCTTGGGTAGTGTAGATATTAAGTTGTTTAAAAAATCATGACCCCCCGGGGGTAGGGCGGGGCCACAATAGGGAATCCAAGTTTTACATAGAAATATATGGAATAAATATTTAAATATCTTCTTCTCAAGAACCACTGGGCCAGGAAAGCTGAAACTTATGTGGAAGCATTCTTGGGTAGTGTAGATATTAAATTGTTAAAATCTTGACCCCCGGGGGTAGGGCGGGGCCACAATAGGGAATCCAAGTTTTACATAGAAATATATAGAACAAATCTTTTTAGAATCTTCTTCTCAAGAACCACTGGGCCAGAAAAGCTGAAACTTGTGTTGAAGCATCTTCGGGTAGTTTAGAATCTTAGGTATTAAAATCATAAAAAGGAAGAGGGTAGTGGGGTACGATAGGTATAGTAAGAGGAGAAATCTGGTAAAGAACTGCATCACCCAAGTT